GGTTTTCCTCCTGTCTTTTTGAGTTGAGTTCGTTGAGTCACCAGCCACCAATACTTGTACAACAAGAGTTATATTTACTAACTTATCACATCGCCTTGTGTCTTTTCAAAAAGGAGACCAGCACTGTGCAATTGCTGTAATCATGTTACGTCATTCCTGCAGCTCTGCAATCGCGGTGAACAGAAGGTCTGCAAAGTAATGGCTTTGCTGGATGCGTGTTTCTGGAAAAGAGACGACTAACGAATCTTTCTTACACTTTTTAATGTTGTCTTCAATCACAGTTTTTGTGTTTCCATGTTGTGTGTCTCCATTACTGCTGTAGCCCCGATGTGTGGTTAAAGTTTTTAGGAGGCGCATTGGCGTATGCCCCAAATGTAATGATTGGACCGGCTACCTGCCTGTCTACTGGCGCATATTTAGCTTGTGCACTCATTGCTCGTCACCAGTCAGTCTTCCACAAGCTGCTACCTTGATAGCTCTGAATACTAAAAATAGCCGTGTTCGTTGTTAACGTTCACAATGGTAATTTTGGGGACGAGGCTGTGGAGGGAGGCCTGAAGGGATGAGCTTGCGCTGTTGCTGACTACTGCAACTTTCTTGCTAGATTTAGCCTCTCTTTTAGCTACTGCTGCTACTGGACATGGAAAATATAATAATATATAATTTGTACCTGGCTTGTTCTGCACCTGGAGTCGTGTTCATCAAACCTGAGAATATACTGCACTCATTTTATTGAGCACAGACTTTCTTTTCTCAGACTCTTTGAATGTTTTTGATTCTCTTGATTGAACAGCTCCCTGTGGAGATTTTGACCTCGACAGATTCTCTATGAATGGGTCACCATTTTGTTTATCTCATGCATAAAGAGGCACATGCATGTGTGCGCCTGCTGGTGAAGCAATAAACCGTCCTACCAATGGTGTCACACTATTGCACTGATCTACAGGTGGAGGCAAGGGGAAAAAGACGACTGCATATTCCTGAATATCTCACATATAGCTGAATACATCGCGGGCTACTGCCATAGTAAACCAGGCGGTAAACACTCACGGATTGTTAGTGCAGAATATTTACCTTGGTCTTCATGTTAGTAATTCTGGACCTCTGAGACGCTATTGGCATATTGCAACTTTGGCTCAGGTAAAAGATTTCTTTTACAAGGTGTTGTCTCTGGACATAGTATTGACTTGGATCCTAGACGATTGTTATAAAACACATTCCTCATCTCCCCGAATACTGCATTTAAAATACATACATTTTATACAAATTGTATAAAAGCCACTGTGAATTTATTGTTCTTTATCTAGATGGCTTGCCATCTTTTCATGGCGTCCCCTCTCTGGTGTTATTTAGCTCCCCCCCCCCCCAAGAGTAAAATGTTTTTTTCCTGAAAGTGGCAGCCTTATACCTGTAGCTCCTTTATGACTTTGTCCAAATAAATCAGCACCGGTGGCAGTATACGTGCTGGCGTTTGAGCCATAAGTTAAGTTGGGCAACACCTTCCCAACAGCGGTAATGGTGATAATACATGAAGTGTATTAAAAGGTGAGGAAAAGCTCCACATGGCCAGTGAGTGATGTGTCAACAATGTGGGGCCTTGGTTTTTACCGGTTTCGGAAATCTTAATAATAATTGATTGATTAAACCTGCAGAGTGACAATGCGTGTTTATTGTTTTAGGTCTTTGTTTCGTAGTTTTCATGTTATTACCAGCATGTCATGCCTGATCACTGTCGCAAAATAAAGGTAGTCCTTTGCTGTCTTGCAGGATTTTAAACACAGTGTTGCTGCAGTTGAGGATATTGCCGTAAGGCATTCTGTTTGCATAAAGGCAAATACCATCTTGTCTTCTCACAGTAAATACTTGTTCTCCTTACTGTACCTCACTTACTGTGTCAGTGCAATGGTAATTGCAGGTTGTCTTTGGATTTCTGCATATTGTTTTGGTGCTAAATGCCTCTTTGAAGCTCAGTAAAACGAGGTCAGTCCCACAGCACAGCAAATGGGAAATCACCGGAGACATTACACGCGTGATCGAAAAAGTTAATTAAAGCTTTGTTAATAGTGAATGATTTGTTTTGGATGAACTATTTTTAAAATGACAACCCACGTTTGTTCACATAGTAAAATGAAATGCATTTGAGGCGTTTTAATGGCGTTTTAAACACATGAGCAGTTATAGTGTTTCAAGATATCAGAACTTCTAATGAATACACAGCAGTGAGTTGCAGCGGTTTTGTTTAGGTGATATATTGCTAATTGAACGTGTTTCATGGTAATGCAAACAAAGTCATGACATGGTTTAGGTAGAGTCATTTTCTACAAACATCACCAGTTTGCTGCTGGCACATTACAAAGCAGCAATGGCAGAGTGGCTGTAACCAGCCGCGACATTATGGTGGAAAGTCTGGATGTTCATCTCACCAGCTTTATCCACAAAACAGTGACTGATGGACAATTCAGATTTAGCTACTCGGGGGCATCCAACCCAATTAAGAGATGACTTGGAGCAGAGAATCACAGCCTCTGGACAAGGCCAGCTCATATACTTTCTAAAGTTAAAGTGGCACGTTTGGCCCACATCATTCACATTTCAATGTCCATGTTTCAGTTTTTTAAGTACATAAATTTAAGGATGTCTTTAAAAAAAAGAAATAACATTGAAGAAGAAATGTGCAGGACGAGGAAATGAAAGAGAAGGGGACAAATAATTAGAATTACACAGATAAGCAAATCCAAGAAAAAACAAAATAGAAAAGCAATAAAGACAAAAGTTAGTAGCTGAGTTATATGGACTCGACAGCTGTTGCGTGATGTCTAATCAGATCACAGTTTGGTTGACATAATAAAGAGGAGGGCTCCTAATTTCAGTTTCACCTTTCTATAAGTTCCCCCATTAGATGTGACAGGAAATTGGCAAGTCCACTCTCTGGGTGTTACATCTGTTTCCCAGGCAGCAGCTCAACAAAACACGGCCTTGCACATCACCATTACCATTCTAGACACTCAGAATTATAGGAGTGAGAGAGAGAGAGAAAGAGGGAGATTGTCAGCTATCTCAACGAGGCATGCTTTGCTCAAGGCTATGTCTTGCTTGTTCCTGCCCTCTCGTCACTCCCCCTTCCATTACTTAGCAGCAAAAAAAGCAACAAAAGAAAAAGAAGGTGCGATTGAATGCTCATCGCACCGAAACTCTGTTCCTCGTCTCCCAAAAGAACTTGATGTCCATGCGAGGTAGTGCAGCAGACTCAAGGGTACACATGAAAGGGCAGTCTGTAATGAAGAAGGTGGAGGCTAACGCTGCTACACCGTCAAGCTGTCAGAGCTACCACGGAGCCCACACTGTCTTTAACTGCACTCCCTGAATAATTATCATCTCATTTTGGAAATAAGTAAAAGCACTTTTAACAGAGAAACAGACAAAAGGTATCTACAATATGCGTCTGATGGATAAATCCAGATGTCAAACTGATCCAGCTGCACAGAATCGTCGTGTTTCAGAAACTTATACATCCGTCTTACCTCTCCGGGTAACGAGTATCACTATTACGCAACGTTTGACCGTGACTAGCTTGAAATCCACAAAACTAGCTTCTGTTGAAGAATATCTGAAATGATTGCATGAGAGTCTACAGAGCACAGCTGTATAGTTGTTTGACCCTGTCGGAGCTGACCAAGGCTACTCTGTGATTGGCCAGTCTGCGTTCCAGGGGCATGACTTAGTGAAGGGTCGAAAACAGAATGTTCTTCTTTTAATTACACATTCTTTTTAACAGTTCAAAAATAAACAGATATCGAGTACAAACTGTACAGAATTACTTTGTGCACTTGGCTAAGTGGAGAGCAGGGCCGTCCATACAGAGGATCGGCGGTTCGATCCCCGGCACCGGCTCCGCCAGTCGCATGTAGATGTGTCCTTGAGCAAGGCACTTAACCCCACCTCCCGTAGCTGTGCCTACGGTGTATAGATAGAATCTGAATTGGAAGTCACTTTGGATAAAAGCGTCTGCTAAATGACTGTAATGTAATGTAACTTAAGTTTTAACAGCGTAAATGTGAAATTATTGCTGCAGAGGTCTACCGGCATTTTCATTGTGTTTATTCTGTGGTCAAGGCCCATTTGTGACAATTTTAATAACAGTATTTCTGCAATTCCCCGGAGCGATTACATTGAAGCCTGTTTGACGTCTGCCAAAAGATTAATACACACGTGATGTTGTCCACATCACTAGCCTTTCACACTGGGGGCGTATTCTTTATTACGCACATGCTCACGCAGTCACATTCGTGCACGAAAACACTGCTCAGCCTAAAGGCTTTGTGGTTGCCTAGCTGCCCACCTTCTCACCTGTACCCGCCCATCTTCACCTGTTTAGATGCTTAAGACCAAAATAGACCCGAAAGTAATTGCATTGTCGTCGCATACTGTACACGCAATCTCAAGTGGCTGTTGATACTTGCAGAAGAGCCACTGTGGGCGGTTCAGTGAGGGTTTGACTGGGTTTGGAAGTGTCAATCTGTCATGATGCCCACTCACTTAGGACACAGTTGCAAAAGCAGGTTGTGTGGTTAAGTCTCTTGCTTCTGGAACAACATTAGGTTTGAGAATCCTGCCCAAGCTTGATCTGCTATGTCGTCAATCTTTTGTCTCTATTTCAACTTTCCCCACTTACAAAGACTTACATCGCTATTGCCCTTTGGGCTTGGTCGCCTGAATAACCAAATACAGTTAATAAAGAAGGTCAGGAGCATTGAATAACCGCAGTAACTGGGATACTGAGAAACTTTAGGCTGAGCTATGATTGAGACAAACTATTTTTTATGACGTGTCATGCCACAACGTCTGCGGTAATAATATTTATAACTATTGTTGGAGAGTGATTCTGTTCTCTTATTGTGTTATTTAGACCCTTTTTTATATGGTTCATATGGTATTATTTCTTAACATATTAAACCCCGTCCTTCTTTCCCTCCCCCTGTGTTTGTACACCTCCTCTCCAGCTCTTGGAGTATGTTGGCAAAGGAAAGAGCATCATGGACGTGGGTTTGGCCCAGGCCCGCCAGCCACTCACCACCCGCTGCCACTACTACGAAGTGGAGATTGTTGATGCTGGGGAGAAGTGCTACATCGCCCTGGGCCTGGCGAGAAGGGTGAGCTTTCTAAGAAAATGAACTACACACACACACACACACCTACATTCAACAGAGAAGCAAGTTTTTTTTGCTTTTGGCCCTTTCCCCCATTTCACCACACTATTATACATGAGGCAGTGTAGCTCAATGAACTCGAGGGATGTGGACTGGAGGAATACGCCGCCCATTCGCTGACTCTTCCATTCTTCCCCTCTGGTCCCCATACTTCAACAAGTCGGTGATCTCACAACATGCTAATGATGGAAAACTTTGACAAAAACCTGAATTGGGAATATGGCGGGTAATTACCTAGTGCAAAATGTTCTTCAGGCGCTGGCATGGGAATGTTTTAAACTTGTACTAATGGAGGAGAAGCAGCGCCCTTGTCTTTTTACATTGAATTTTAAATATGGGATCCCCCCACATACATGTAAATCTCAGTGTATGGAGTAAAGTTGATGGGTGGCTTAACCAGTAAAACCATTTTTAGAGTATATTAGAGTCTACTAGTGGTAAACATAGTGGTACTGTCAAAAGCTTTATTTTTCCCCCATTATCCAGCAGCTCAGCCATTCGCTTTGGATACAATGGCCGACTTTTGGTAGATTTTTTTTGTTTTTGGTAAACACCTTCCAAGAGGAAAATACAATTAGAGAAATTTTAACACCTTATTTCTTTTTCCAAAGAATGCACATGCGGTTCCCATTTCAGCATTAGCACTGCAGCTCTGCAAGTGACTATTACCGTTTGAAGAATTAAACAGACAAACCTTTAGATGTTTGGGAACTGAGTGAGACTGATGCACATTAAAGGAGTATTTCACCCACAAAATGACCATTTGTATCAATTTAACCACCTAGTGTGACCTTAAATTCTTGAAGAAAACTTCGTTTTTCTTGCGCGCCTCTACGGTGAACGAAAAATACCAAGACAGAGAAAAGTCTTGAAGAACTAAAGTAAATAGGGGGTTGCGTTTACGAACTCGTACAGTATAATCAAAGTCTCATTTATCCAGCCGTATGCTCAGAACTTCCCAAACACATGCATCTTTGCAAAAACCTTACTATTTAAAACACTTCCGCATAAACAGTCTGACGCTTGCGCAGGTGTCCATGCGAGTGCTGTTCATGCATAAGTGTTTAAAATAGTAGTGAGCATACGAACGGATAAATAAGACTTGAGATTATGCTGCACAAGCTGTGAGAGAGTTTAAAAACGTTTGTTTTGATATAGTTTTGCTGCTGTTAAACGCAGCCCCTCATTTACTTCAATTCATCACGACTTTTCTCTGCTTTTGGATTCCTGGTTCACCGTGGAGGCATGCAACAAAACCAGAACGTTTTCTTTAACAATTCAAAGTAACACAGGGGTGAGTTATTTATTTACAAATGGTCTGTAAACCATTGGGGGTGAGGTTTTCCTTTTCAGAGATGCAGAGAGAGATTACAACAAGGATTAATGTATTAAGACTTCAAGGATGTAAAGTACAAGCAGTAATAGTTAAACTCTTGCAGGGCTGCTTTGAATCCTCACTAAGCTTATAAAAGGTAAGATTAAACTTGTATGAATGTCTACTTTCTGATTGATAGATTCTCTCATAAAACCTATTTGCGTTACATTTGACCTAATATGCTTCTTCTGACTTAGGGACCATTTCTTCAACAGCATGGAGTCATGATTTGTGAGTTTATTACTCCCTGAAAGTTTAGCCTCGAAAGTGTTATGCATGTGAAATATTAGAGACTGCCAAAGCCAAGGCCTGTGGAGAGCTGCCAGCACTGTCTGTCCCAGGGTCAAAGCTCCGCTCCTTTTTATAACAAAAATAACAGATGAAACTTTGATCACATCTCTCAAGGTCTCTGAGGCAATTTATACAAAACTAGGAGAGAGGGATGCTCATTAAATGGCGATAAGAGAGAAATAGATTCGCACTGTATGTGTGCGCTCTACCTACAGGTTTCCATTTGGAAAATGGGTAAATCTGAACATCCTTTTTGTGGATTGTCTCGTTAGTGTTGTTGGCTCTACAAAGTCGTTGATGTCTACCACTCGACATTGAAACAATAACTTGAAAATCAATAATACCAGTCGTATTGCCATCTTCATAGATATGTTGCTTGCTAAACCACCTGGCGAATATTTCCCATAATTCACTCTTAAAGTCAAACTTTTTGCCTCAGGAAAAATAAACCCGAATGATTGAGCTACCGTGCATATTTTTAAATTTTTTTAAAAAGAGGATAAAACTGTTTTGGACATATTTGTGGAAAAAGCTTCTCGGCTTCAGGCTTCTGGGTGGGCATTTCCCTTGTTGTTAGAAGACACATTATCAATACCTGTGGTGCTCTACTGACAGGAGCACATCATATTGGACATCCTGCCAATGTTGATACAAAAGGTAGCCTTTTTCAACAAACCCACATAACATTTATTATGGATCTTTAGCGATTACAACATGAAACATCTAGGAGAACCGTCAGGCTGTTGTGGATATATTTGCACAAAAAGAAGCTAGCAAGTCAGGATAACTAAGTCGATGCTAGTTCGCCTAGCTTACTGAGATTCCCACTGATTCCCACCGGACTTTACTTTTAGTTCATGTTATTTCAACATGCTGCTTCACACTCACGGGTCGAATTACACATCACTTACATATCTGCCCTGTCTCAAACTTTACAAACGATATTGCGCTGATGATATTACAGCGCGTGCAATTTGCCCTTTTCTTTGCGTCTGATTGCAGTTAACCATGTGGCAAAGAATGAATGTTGCTTTTGCGCCAAGAACTCAGTGGCAGAGACTGCGAGCTTCAGGTCCTTTCGGCAAGCAACTTGAACGTGACAGAGAGAAACCATATTTGGGATTTAATATGCCATGTAGGGGTGATCCCAAATAGTCAACTAGCCAACGATTCGATCTGAAGACTCCGATTCGACTGCCAATATCACAGTAGAAGCATCGCAGTAGCAGAACAATGTGGTTATGAAACAAAGGATCATTCCATTCGGCTATATATGGGTGCTAAATGCTTGATTTTACATAGAAGGGCTTGGTTTTATTTTGGTATAAATATCAGCCTATTAAATATACTGTTAATAAAGTAACAACACAGTAACGTAAAATAACTCATCCCAACTAATCTCCTTTGTGTGCGTGAATACAAAAATAGAGTGCCACTATTAAAATTTGCGTGACCATCAGAACATCATCTTGGCAAAATAACAGCAGAAGGCTGCTGTTTTAAATATCAAAGAACATATTTATTAATCCGATTATTATTATTTATTAATAAGCAAATAAATTCATTGCTCAGTTGGCTTTAGGCAAGACTTGAGATCAGATTCTACTATGTACATTCCTAGCTGGGGACACCCCTAAAGTCTGGTCTTGCTTCAGTTACTACCAACTCTCTGAAGACGCAGATAAGTTCACTGTAACTGCGTGTGGTTTTTAACTCTGATATTTTAGAATTGCATTGTTTTTGCAGTGAGGCACATTTGAATAGAAAGGGGCTAATTCTAAACCAAATAAATGCATATTACCGAGTTTAAATACGTGCAAACAGCACAGGAAGTCTAGTTGTGGTGACTGCAAATGAACAAAAACTACCAGCAGCAGGTAACAACAGCACTCTGTGCGCTACTCTGTGATTCAAGTCATGACACAGAGAAACCAATGGAGTCTTCAAATCACAGATGGAACAAGAAATATCAAAAACTATTCTTTTTTTGTTCCAGCCAACACAGATGATGCACCAATTAAATCACAGTAGTTTAATAGCAGCAGTACAGTTTTAAGTACACAATTCAAAACAAACACTAAGGATGTTTATAATGAATTAATTTATAATTAATTTAATCTCATTGTACTCCTAATCTTTATCTGTTATATTCACTGAATTATTTGTTCTGTGAATTAAGAGAAATAAATGCCAGAATATCCTCTGATGGACCTAAGAGAACAATGTGAACACACTCAGTTAAACACACACAGACGATGCTCCCATTGGTGAGAAAGAAGTTGAGTGGCGATAACTCTAGTTGCATTACCTCCTCAGAGTTCCTCTCTCCTTTCTTTTTGCTCAGCTTCTTTTCTCTCTGCATCTGGGTTTTATTATAAAGACATTAAGCTTAAGTCCAAGAGTGGTAATAAAGCAGCAAAGTGAAGGGCTTGGCTAATGACTGTTTACTCAGCAGCATTCGCAAGTTTGCATGCTGCTCTTTTGACGTAGTATCCCACGGTAAGACGGCCTGAATACGAACACAAATCCACTCATTACTGCCCCACAGAGTGCCAGATTCTGCCTGTCTGTCTCGCTCTTTCTGTTTGTTGCGGTTCATGACTTCAGGCTCAACTTTGTCGTCAATTTTCTTCACTTTACATCTGTTTCTGCAAACTCACTCTCTGCTCCCATCTAAACATCCACAGTAGCTGCCCACCACACAAGAAAAGCAACAGGTTTTACCCAAATTTGCAACATGGCTCCCGTGATGACAATGATGCTCATTTGGTTCACCACTTCACTTTCATAACAAATATCGGATGGATTGACGTGAAATATGGTGTGTTCATGGTCCCCAGATGGTAACGCTTGCTTTGGTTATCCCAGACTTTACATCCAGCAGTACAAAGTTTTTAATTATTTAGTGAAATTTCTCAACATGTACTTCGTGGATTGGCGACTCAAGTCTCAAACCAACACTGTGCCTACAGAGCCACTAGCATGCTACCCATACTACCACACTAGTTAGTATGCCGGAACCATAGTATGTTGAATGCATTATGCCAGATATACCTGGATGTCCTCCTGCATCTGGTCGCATTTTGCAGTATTATGACCCACAATCCTTTGTGCAGCAGATAAGTGAACAAAAGGCTCAAAGTCAAAGTGCAATGTTATGACAAAGGAGTAAGTCCCAAATAAATGCGCATTGCCTGCAACAGTACGTACTTTGTATGGGCAGCTGCAGTAGGTTCAAAAAGTAAAAAAGAAGAAGTGTGCGATTTGGAACTCAGTG